GGAGGAATTAATTAGCAAGGTTAGGTTAGTGGTCAAAGGTGGTCTGCAATTCTGAGTCAACAGCGGCTCTACTAACGATTCATTTCTAATGATTTTAAATATAATAGTTTCCTGTCTGTTCTTTTAGAATTAATCACTTTCCTTTTTCTTTTTTTAATTGGCTGTGGAATTTGAACTCTGGGCTTGAGCACAATTCCTCAGCTCTTCAGCTCAAAGCGAGTACTCTACCACTTGAGCCACTTCTGGTTTTTTGGTGGTTAACTGGAGATAAGATCTCACAGATGTTCCTGCCCAGGCTGATTTTGAACCACAATCCTCAAATCTCAGCCTCCAGAGTAGCTAGGATTACAGGTGTGAGCCACTGGTGCCCACCTTAACTTTTTCTTTAATCTAAAAAATTACTACATAGAAATGAAACACTAATTCCTGAAGCACTAAGTCAACAAGATTGAACATAGTGTAGAATTAGCAATGTACATACTGAGGAAGATCAAGTTGAACCAGTCCAATTTGTTTTGGGGAGTCTGTGATATGGCCAATGAAAAATTTTACTTCCATTACTTACAATTTGTACACACCTACAAAATGTTCTGTGGGGATGACTAGATTCTGCTGAAAATTTCCTGCTTATGTTTACTTCTATGTACGAAGACTCATTGTTTTCAGAACATACCCAACTACTAAAACAACATGGAAATTTAAGAATGAGGTGTAGCCGGGTGCCAGTGGATTACACCTGTAATCCTAGCTACTCGGGTGGCTGAGGTCTGAGGATTGCGATACAAAGCCAGCCCAGGAAGGACAGTCTGGAGACTCTTTCTTCAATTAACCAGCCAAATGCCAGACTGGAGTTATGGTCAAGGGACAAGAGGAAAGTCTGTGAGATTCTTATCTCCAATAAAACCACCAGAAAACCATAAATGGCACTGTGGCGCTGTAGAGCACTTCCCTGAAGTGTAGAGGTGTAGAGCCAGATGCAAGTAGCTCATACATGTAGTCCCAGCTACTCAAGTAAAATCTGAGGATTGAGGTTCAAAGTCAGCCAAGCAGGACAGTCTGAAGACTCTTCAATTAACCAGCCAAATGCCAGACTGGAGGGAGTTATGTGGTCAAGTGACTAGAGTGCCTGCCATCAGTGAGCAAAAGTCACATGAGTGAGTGGCCCTGACTTCAAGACCCTGTACTGGCGCACACACGCACGTGTGCGTGCACACACACACTGGAGCACACACGCATGCGTGCGTACACACACACACACACACACACACACACACACACACACACGCCCCAGGGCTTCAAAAAGACAACTTCAAATTTTGCAGGAAAGATGGAATACTGGGAGAAAAACTTAGCCATTAACTCTCCTGGACTAAACTAGTATGAAAACCTACAAATAAAAGCAATGAATTTCTGAGATTCTATTGTGCTCTACAAAAAACATTAAACAAAATGAACAATTTTCAGTAAGCACATCATTACTACTCCATTTCCCAAGAACTTTGGAGGGAAAAATTATATCCAATATGTTACTGACTTGACCTTTGATGACATACTATAGAAAAAAGATAGAGAAGCATTTACTAACATGACACATTTTACAATTTCTAAGTGGGAGGACAGTGTCTTTTTACACCACTGACAACAGCTCAACCATTAGATATTACAACATACCTCATGTACACTCTTCTGTGAGCTGGTAGCTCACATCTGCAATCCTAAGTACTCAAAAGGCTGAAATCTAAGGATGGAAGTTCAAAGTCAATCTGGACAGAAAATTCTGAGACTCATCTCCAATTAACTATCAAAAAGCCAGCTGTGGACCTATGGCTCAAGTGGTAAAGGCCTTGAGTTCAAGACCTGGTACCCACACAAAAACAAGTAAAATAAAATATACCCCCTTCTTGTCAACAGATCATTTTCATTTAGTCTGTCAGTATTGATTAAATTATGTTCATTGTGAATGTAGTTTGTCCATCTCAAAATGCATATGAAGCAGTATTTTTAAACTTAATAGGGAAAAGACTTCACATGAACTGGTCAACACAAAAGCTGCGTTAAAATTAAGGCCATGAAAAAAAAATTTTTTTTTGAGCTGGTATTGGGGCTTGAACTTCTAGGCCAGTAGCTCGCTTGGATTCTCTGTTCAAGGCAAGCACTCTTACCACTTGAGCCATGCCTCCACTAAAAATAACAATCGCTACAAGTTGAGTAGTATTGTCTTCAAACTCAAATCTAGCTCCACCATTTACTAGTTGAATGAAAAATTCCTTAACTCCTTAGTTACTTTCTCATCTGTAAAAAGGTAGTAGTATCTATCATACAGGATTCTAGAAATTATGTTAATATATGAAATGTGCTTGGAACAATGCCTATAATTTATTAAACAGTTTGTCTGCCAGTATTACCACTAAATTAAAATGGAAGTATTCTAGATGTTATCAAGAATTATAACATAGTATTACTTGTAAGATGTTTAAAAACCAAAAAAAAAATGTCCTAATTAAAATTTCCCTAGCAAATAGGCACAAGCAGGGTCTGTAATATTAATATTAATTCAAATTAACATTCATATTAATATGAATGCAAGATAACTTTTGACACTGAAAAGTTTAACAAGAATATTTTAGCACAGCATAATGGTGAGCCTAATCCCAGGCATTAAAGCAAGCAAGCATTTGAGACAAACCTGGGCAATACAGCCCTGACCACTTCAAAAAACTAAGACATATGTATTGAAAACAATATGTATTGATAAACAATAAAGATTTTGACTTGTCTAGCTAAGAATATCTGCCAAACCTACACATACTGAGATCTTTCAAGTCTTCCAGCTGATTTTCTAAGTATGAAACTAGCAGTACCTACACTTCATTTTAAAAATAGTAACAAAAAGTTGAAATTGATACACTAATCTCTCAGCTTAGGCAGGTCTATGGTGGTGGTAAAATAGCTGCTTAAGTCCTACTTTACCTGCTATTGCACTACTTGAAAAACTACTGCTCAGAGTACATTTCAACAAGTTAAACACTAGAAGTTCAGTGTTATATTCCTTACTCTCAACTTCCCTTACAGGTAAGAGGTAACAAGTCTTTTATCTCTAAGCAAAATGGAAAGTATAAACTGTTCCTCAAAAAGAACAGAAAGAAAACAAGATTCATATTTTCTAATTTCCCATTCCACTTTTAAGTGTGTTCAAGAGAAGTCTATTAAAGGACAATTTATACATTTGGTTTATGTAATTCAAAAACACATTTGAAACACTTTCTACGGGTTTCTAGAGGAATTTTTCAGTCCTAACAAAGAGGTGAAGGTGGCTCATGCCTGTAATCTAAGCAAATCAGGAAGCTGAGACCTGAGGATCACAGTTGGAAGCCAGCCAGGCTGAAATCCCGGAAACTCTCATCTCCAATTAGCCATCAAAAAGTGAGCAGTAGCTTCTGAACGCTAACCTTGAGCAAAAAAAGCTCAAGGACAACGCCCAGATCCTGAGTTCAAGCCCAAGGATTAGCACAAAAAAATAAAGAACCGATGTAGCAGGTCGTCCATATTCTTAGGCATTCTTATCTCCTGAGCTGAGAATTTAGCTTAAGTGGTAGAATACCTGCCTAGCAATTCAAACTGCAGTACCACCACCACCACCACAAAAACAAAGACTTTTATCAAGTTAAGAAAAATACTAAACCCCTCTTCCATAATAATGAAACTAGACTTCGAACCTATTCTTTTCCAAGTAGCAGTTTCTACTGGGCATCTACCTTCCACAACCATATAACTTCACTAAATACACCAAAAGAATTGACTACCTTGACATACATCTGAAAATAAAACTAACTTCAAAGATATTTCTAGAAACATGCCTCGTGTTCATGGACAAAGGTTAGCTCCCTTTTCGTCCACAAGGTTTCCCACATCATGTTTTCCTTGGCTCGGTCATCCAAACATAAAGAAACTTTCTTTGTACCTTAACTGATTAAAATCCCAAAGTATTCTAGTTGTGCAAATGAAGCTGGTTAAGTAAATGCTTGAAGTTTCCGTCAAAATGACAGGGAAAAAAAAAACTTTCTAAAGTAAGCCACAGAAAAATTAAGCCGCGAAGTAGGTCTACCAGGAAGAACTTAAAACCAAATCCAGAATTATTTAAAAATGGCTGGACAGTCAAAAATACTGTAATAGCAAAAAGCAAGTTCTACAATATGGCATTAAGGTTTTTTTTTTCTTCAAGCAAGCAATTGGTATATCTTTCCACATTGGCTTCAAAAACAATCTGGGCTTTCTTAGAATCTTTAAGTCCAAGACCAAGTTGAAGACTCTAGGGTAATAAAGGAATATTTTCCCCCACAGGGAAATTACTGCGCCAAGAACCCATCTTCCCATTCTTTAAAAAAGAAAGAAAAACAAGGGAAACCATACCAAGTATGGATTTAAAGAGAGATCTAGTCAATATAATGCCTGAGAACCAAGAGGGGGGAAAAAAAACCTACATGGAAATGAAGTGTGATGGAAATTAAGTGTGCATGGATCACATCTACTAATGGTGATTTCTAAATAAGGGAAGATGCTGACATCGAGCAAGTAGACACAGAGAGCTTGAGAACTTCCATAGAGAGAAACACTTGTGGTCCTGAGCACGCAATAGCCTTGGAGAAAGAAAGCCCGAGAATCCATGGCCATGGGGCTATTTCCATAAGGAGACTTCTCAGAAGCATCTGTAGGAGGACACACCAGCTTCTCTGCTTTCGGGGAGTGGGGAGGGGCGCCAGGCACCATCTTTCCTCTCGGGGAGCTGCAGCCTTATGGACAAGCTTCAAACCTGAGCTACTTCCAACTTCCACTGCTTTCTCCTCTGGCGCCAAGCGCAGCAGCTGTGCGGCTGGGGCCGCGGGGGAAGGCGGCCGGACCGCAGGCGTGTTTACGTGGGTGCGGGAAGGAGACAGAGAGGTCCTAACGAAAAAGATGGAAGGGAGACAGGAAGAGGGCTGGGAGGAAGGGGGAGGCACCACCTTTCTTTTCTCTGCTCTTCCTGGGGATCTGAAAAGTCCTCCTAACGGGCCTTTCGGGCTCTTCCGGGCCTTTAGGTGGAGCGGCCAAGCCCGGCTCCGCGGAGTCGGGAAGCAGCTCGTGGCCGAGGCTCGGGGCGGCCTCGGGCGCGGCGGTGTCCTCAGGCCCCGCGCCGCCTCCGGGCTGCGCGCTGGTGGGGCGGCGGCCGCCGCCGTCGCCATTTTGTGCGGAGGACTCAAGCTCCGGAAACGCTGATTGCATCTCCTCGTCGGCGCCGCCGTTCCAGCTGGCCACAGCCGGCAGAGAGGGGTCTGTCTCCACGGCAGTCGCCATCGCGCCCGCTTGGGAAGCCCGGGAAGCTTCGGCCCACAAGGCTGACAGGCTGGGGGGAAGGAGCAGCAGGCCGGCTTCGCCGCCTCGCTGCTGAGTTCCCCCCCACCCCGGGCCGCCGAGGCCACTGGCTCTGCTCCCGGCCCAACGGCTAAGTGGAAAGCGTCAAGACGGGCGTCTAACGTGCGGCTCCGCGTAGAGCGGCTCCGGCCTGAGCGGCTCTCCACTCCGCACCCCACCCCCACTCCCACCCCAGCCACCCAACGTGCTCGCGTCCGGGCCGAGAGGGGGCGGGATTTCTCGGGCCGCTCCACCAGTGGGAACGCAGTGCCCACCTCCGCAGATGCAGACAGTCTGCGCCGGAGGCGGAGCCTCGGAGCACCGAGCCCGCCAAAAGGGGCGAGCGCAAGGCCGGACTGCAACCTCGACGCCGCGGCTAGTGGTGCCATGCTTGTCCTCTTCGGCCCTCGGAGACCGTCCAGACCGCGCCATCTCGGCGGGGCAGTCCAGAGGCGGGCCCAGTGCGTTCCTCCCATCAGGCGCCTTCTGTCTGGGATGCAGACCACCTCCCAGGCCTTGGAGTTCTGTGGTCTGGAGCTGGTTTTGGAGTTGCTGTGGGAATTACTGGTATGTGTGAAATTGGAGACGAGGAAAGGGCGGGCCGCCCGCCATCCACCATTGCCACCAGGCTAAGGGCTTGAACCAGAGACACCTGCCAGCAAGACCCAATGCCTGGAATGCTTTCCTAGAACTTACAACTTGCTGCTGTGTCTGTGTACATGTACTACACCTGGGGCTTGAACTCGGTGCTGTCCCTGACCTCTTTTCAAACCCAGCAGCACTCTACCACTTTGAGCCATGCCTCCACTTCTGGTTCTCAGGTGGCTAATTGAAGATTAGAGGCTCACGGACTTTATAACTAGAGCTGGCTTCGAACTGTGAGCCTCCTGAGTAGCTAGGATATAAGGCGTGAGCCACCAACACCCGGTTGCAACCTAGTTTTATACATTTTTCCCCTCTGGCTTTCAGAGCCACTGTTACCCAGCTAAGTTTGTTGTTGTTGTTTTTGGGGGGAGGGGGGAGAGGTTGTTTTGTCTTGTTTTGTTGGTTGTAATAGTAGTTTCTACATAGTTAGCATAATGTATCTTGGGTTTCTGTTAGCCCAATAAGTTCCCTTCCCATAACCTAGCATGCTCCTTTCCTAGGCAACACTAGGCTCATTTAATAAAGGCAGTAAATAATCAGTCTCCAACCCCCCTTTACCTTGGTTGGGTACCACCATATAAGGCAGCAAGATCCTCTTAGAGTGACCTTCAGGTCTGGGCAGCTGCATACAACTTGGGCAACTTTGGCAAGCAGCCATAAATCCTAGCCGGCCATGATGAAGCCCTTGGCCCACACAACTACACCACCATCTCAGCCTCCTAAACTTTGTAGGTTATAAAAGATCACTAGACACAAAAGCCTGCACTTCTCTGTGTGAAGGGATCTTGCCAATCCCTTTTCTTTGTTCTTTGTACCAGGATATCTGGTTTTCTTGCAAAGTCTAATAGTTACTAAGAGTGCAAGCTGAATTTACTGAGGTTGTTTTTGTGTTTGTTTTTTCATATGGTAAGTAAGGTCTGCCCTGGGCCATGCAGGCCCCGTGCAGACACCTCCCTACTTCTAGTTTCCACCCAATATCTGTGTTACCTAGGTAACTGGCACCTCCCCCTCCTGCTAGGTCACATGCTGGGCGCCTCAGGTCACACTTCCCATCTGACTTCCCACCTAGAACCAATGTGGCCACACCTTTCTCCCACCTGGCCACACCTCTTCCTGTCCCTGGCCTAGATGTCCTGGCCTGAGGGTGGGTCTCCCCTTTTTGGCCTCTCCACCTTGCACGTGGTGGTGGGGCAGCAGTTTGATAAATAAACTTTTCCTGCCTGGTTGCCTCTTGATATTCTCTTCATCAGCTACCTCATGAAACCTATCTAATATATCTTGCACTAAGTCCTAGACAAAGCAATTGACTTACTTTGTTTCTGTTTAATCATCAAAATAACATACTAGGGAGACACTATTTTGCACAACTTGTGAGATATGGAACAAACTAACAGAAATCAATATTGGAAACCAAGTTCATGTAGTTCAACAAAACTGAAGTCTTTTATTAGCCACATGGCGACTGTCTCCAGCTCTCAGCGCTTCGGCAAACAGCCCCACTTGTTTTTCATGGTGAGGTTTTATAGGAAGGGGTTTCACTCAGCTGATGTTTGCCAAAGCGAGCAATCAAGGTTACAGATGCAAAACAGCTTTGCAAAACATAATCTTGACTTGGTCCACATGACTGATACTATCAATGTTATTGATACTATAGATACTTGATTACAAAAAGTCAAAACAAAACAAACTACAACTTTCGTGGGGGGAGGCGGGGAAGATTGGGTGGGGCGGTGTGGGGAGAGGCTGGGAAGGGATGTGAAAGGTAAACAAAGGAGGAGGTTGCAATGCTTGATAAGAAATATACGCATTATCCTGCCCATGTAATTGTAACTCCTCTGTACAGTATTTTCACACACACAAAAAAAGTCAAAATATATCCTTGTATTACAGACAAAATAACCCCACCCCCACCTTGGGTGGGGTCAAACTTCTGATTGATAGAGTAGCTCACTTTATCCCGAGATAAGTCTCAAGGTCTGTGGGTTTTAGCAAAGTTCATAATCTCAAAGTTGTCAGCCTGGGAAGCTTGAGAGAGCAAGAGATATTCTTGGCTTTTTAGCTAGGATGCAAAGGGGTTAAGGCTGACTACTGGCCAGTTTTTTATTTTTGTTTTTGTTTTTGTGGGTTGTAGGGCTTGAACTCTGGGCCTGGGTGCTGTCCCTGCATTCTTCAGCTCAAGGCAAGCGCTCTACCAATTGAGCCACAGCACCACTTTGGGTTTTCTGGTGGTTTATTGAAGATAAGAGTCTCATGGAGGGGCTGGGAAGGTGGCTCAGTGGTAGAGCGCTTGCCTTGCATGCATGAGGCCCTG